GTGGCAGGGAGGGGAGCAGAGAAAAATAAAGAGCTCAATAAATATCAGTAAAAAAAAGTCACCAACCATTGTTTCAGCACTAAGAGACAAATCCAATTATACTGCATTCAAATACTTAAAGTACAGCACATTCACATTAATTTCTTTAAAAGACTTAAAGACGTACTCTCCTTTATAGTTTTAATTAGAAAAAAATATAGGGTTAATGTAGCTCTCTCTGTAATTCAAGTTCTTTTTTTCTTTTTGACCTAGGATCTCTTGTAGCTGAGGCTGGCCTTGAACTCCAGGTCTTCCAACCTCCACCTCCCCAACAGTGGGATTACAGGCCTGTACCGTCATGCCATGCTCAAGACAAGTTACAGAGTAGGCATAAAGTTACCTTTCCTAAATTATCCAATCCAAGTTCTAAACTTCATAGGAAACAAATAGCTGAGAGTTTTCATGTTTAAAGTGGGGGAAAAATAAACCTTTTAAGTTAATACCTGGAACATATACTCTATCTAAATAAAATTTTAAATTGAGGGGCGGAGAGATGGCTCAACGGTTAAGAGCACTAGCTGCTCTTCCAGAGGACCTGGGTTCAATTCCCAGCCCCACATGGCTGCTCACAACTGTCTGTAACTTTATTTCTTTTGGGTCTGACACCTTCACACCAATGAAGTTAAAATAAATTATTTTAAAAAAAAAGTTCTAATTTTTTTTTAAATCAATAAAAGTTAAAAGGCACAAAAATATGCAACTAGCACATATGTAGCCCAGTGGCAAAACAAATACGCGCGCACACACACACACACACACACACACACACACGCCTGCCTCTGACTCCTGGGTGCTGGGATTAAAGGCATGCACCACCACCACCACCTGGCTAAAAAGACAATTTTTAAAAATTATATTGTTTATTCTTGAAGAAGTCATTATTACCTTTCCATATTAATGGGCAGAGCATGCACTTTGGTTGCTTCCGAGGTACGATTCCCCATATTAGAAGACATAATAGTTTCACCTTCAGACTTCAATTTGTCCACAAAGTTATCTACTTCCTTTCCTTTGGCTCCAAGTTTCAAAGCCTTGCTAGGACCTGAAGGTCTAAGAGGAAGAATACAAAACAAGTAAATAGATGATAAAAATACAAAAAGCCCCAAACATTAGTTAATGGCCTTCTACCAATAAGATTCCTCTGAAGGAATATGAAGATCACAAAGAGAAAGCCTGCTTCCTAGTGTTGGTGAACAACTAGACCACCGATGGTATAATATGAACCTGCACAAATGGACAACCATTATTAATATGTAAAGCATTAAGTACCTAAATACCAAAGGTATAATTTTATAATCATGAGTGATCTGGTGAAAACTTAACATCTTCCAATCAGATAAATGTGACTATGCATAAAAGTCTTTGCATGTAATTTCAGAACTCTCTTTTAAACAAAAGGAAAAATAACACAGAAGTCTGCTTTATAACTATTGTTTATGTATCTAAATTTAGTATCAAAGCTTACTTCATTAAGTCTCTTATTATTTACAGTCAGCTTAGGAACCAAGTATTAGTCCCATGAAACACACACACACACACACACACACACACACACACACACACACACACAGCCTTCCTCTGTATCCTAGGGTTGTTGGTAATATGCTAGACTATACCTGGCTGGTGCAGGTGCCACTTTTGGTTTATCAGTTTCAATGATAGTTTCTGTGATCATGGCTGCTGTGCTGCCTCCAGACACCGCAGAACTACCAAATCCACCAAATCCTGGTGCTTTCTTGCCCTGTCTTTCTGCATCTCTTCGGGCCTGTTGTAATTCCTTTGCTTTACGCCGCATCTCAGCCTTAGCTTCACGTTCCTGAGTCTATGGAAAGAGACATACTTGTATGTAGTTTTCAGTACATTTACATTAGCAAGTAAAACCAGGAAGATCAGATTAGTGAAGGCTAAGAAAAAGACACTCAAACTGGCAGTCTCAGAAGGCCTCACTTACCTCTCTGACTGCTCTGAACACTTTCTCCTCATGAGAATCCATTTCTGTGAAGGTTCTGATCTGGGCCAAATTAACATTCTCCCGGTATCCCAGAGCAACAATTTCATCAAAAGCAAAAATCAAATCAAAACAGTGCTCAGATATTTCATTTTCTTCTAAGGCGCGACAATATTCAGGAATCTAATTATGGACAGTAACAGAAAACAAAGATTACGAGTTTCATAGCAGTTATGTTTCTAAGTTTCAAAATTTCAAAAACAATCTTAGCACTTGGGAGGTGGAAGGAGGATCCTGAGTTCAAGGTTATCTTCAGTAATGTAGCAAGTTAAGGCCAGCCTAGACTACATGAAAACTGTCTCAAAAATCAATCCATCAATACAATAAAATAAAAAACAAAACAAAACAAACAAAAAACCCAACTAACAAAATAAAACAATGAGATTCAAGAGATGGCTCAACAGTTAAGAGCTGGCTTCGAACTCATAGAGATCTACCTGCCTCTTGAGTGCCATCAACACTGCCTGGGTGTATCAGTAGTCTTTTTTTTTTTCTTTTGGTTTCTAAGTAGCTTTGGAGCCAGTCCTGGAACTCACTCTGTAGACCAGGCTGGCCTTGGAACTCACAGAGATCGCCTGCCTCTGCCCAAGACTGGCGCCACCACACCTGGCTGTATCAATACTCTTAATCTAAAAACATTTCCAAATCTGAGCATAGTGGAGCATGCCTTTAATCCCTGCACACAGGAGGCAGGCAGATCTCTATAACCTGGTCTACCACAGAGAGTTTCAGGCCAGCCAGAGCTACATAGTGGACCCTACACACCTACAAACAGACATACACACTCACACAGACAGACACATGGGTGGAGGTTCAAGCAAGTTTCAGAAACATGGACATATTAACTTAGTTAAGAACTGGAATATGAGGGGCTGGAGAGATGGCCCAGCAATTAAAAGCACTGGCTGCTCTTCCAGAGGACCACAGTTCAATTCCCAGCACCCACATGGCAACTCCACTGTCTGTGGCTCCAGTTCCAGGGGATCTGATACCTTCACACCAATGCAAATAAAAGAAATTAAAAGAATGATTTTGCATTCTCTATTAGATAGCCTAGGAAGGCACCCAACAAGTGGCTACTGAATGAATAAAGAGCTATATAGGAATGGGGTGTAGCTCAATGACAAGAGTGCTTGCCTAGAATGCATAAGGCTTTAGCACTGCAAAATAAATAAATAAAGCTTTTGCTTGTTTGTTTGTTTTTCAAGATAGGATTTCTTTATAGCTTTGGAGCCAGTCCTGGAAACTTGCTCTATAGACCAGGCTGGCATCGAACTCACAGAGATCTGCCTGTCTGTGCCTCCCAAGTGCTGGGATTAAAGACGTGTGCCACCACTGTACAGCCAATTTTTTTTTTTTAAGGAATTGCATTGGTAAGTTGTTGATAGGTGGTTAGGGGTACAGAGTTCACAAAATGTTAACATCAGCTATTTTAAAGTCAAAACTCCTTTCAACAAAAAAAGTAAAACACCACAAAGTAGAATCCAGTATTATAGGCCTCTTACCACTCTTGAGAAGAGCCTTAAAGTCTCCAAATCTTCTAAAATATTGCTGTTTTTGGTAGTGATCAATACCATGTACAGTTTCTCCATAGGTTGGTAGACATATCTTACACTCTCTGTTTCAACAAAAGTGTGTTGTTTTCCAGTGTTCATGAGTTTTGGAAAAGCTGCTAATAAACCTTCAATCCGAGTGCGGGTCATCTCCACAAACTGTCGAGAAACAATAGCCTTTCCAGCTTTCGTGCAGACTGCTGCTGCCAACAGCACCTGCCAAGAACACACACAGAAATAAGCACTCTTCACGTATTTTCACATTTCTTTTCTCAGCACCTTGGGGGAGCTTCCATACAATAGCACATTCAGGGACATGACTACTGACAGTTGTCTTCAAACTGTACTCCGCTGTTTCTTCATTACAGCATGAGATTTATAAGGCAAAGTTAAGGTAGAAGAAAATGAAGCAACTGTTCCATAATATACCTAAATTTTAAAGACAAAATAGTTAAAAAATAACTTTTGGGGCTGGAGAGATGGCTCAGGTTAAGCCATAAACAAATAAATATAAATTAAAAAAAGCAAAAAAGACCCAACAACCTTCTGATATCATCCATTTAACAAAACAAATGCAAAAGGAAATCAAATGCCAATGAGGAGAGTAGAAAAGATACACTGTGTTCTAATGGCCTCTTTGGTACAGGAATCCAGGAGTTCATACAAGCGACAACAAAAGATTGACACATCTGCAAAGACTCGCTGTTAGAATATAATCTCTTAAACAACAAACCCTGGTTTAATGCCCATTACAGATGAACAATTTGAAAAACAAACGTCAGTTTAAATAAATATTCTTTTTTTTAAAGATATATTTATTTATTATGTATACAACTTTCTGCCTCCATGTATACCCACACACCAGAGGAGGGCACCAGATCTCATTACAGATGGTTTGGAGCCACCATGTGGTTGCTGGGAGTTGAACTCAGGACCTCTGGAAGAGCAGACAGTGCTCTTAACCACTGAGCCCCTTAAATAAATATTCTTACAGTGGCAATGCTCATGGCTTTCAGAACTGGGCCTTCTAGCACAATAGGCAAGCATGATATTATCCACAGCATTTTGTCTATTTTAAAGTTTTGTTTTATTTTATTACAGGGTCTTTCTAAATTTCCTGGCTGCCTTCAAACTTACGCTCTTTTTGCCTCAGTCTCCAAAACAGCTGGGATCATGGATGTGCATCCATCCATTCAGTTTCAATGTATTAATAATTGCTATGTACTCAGTATATAAGGCCACAGTATCCAGAGAGGATACGTGACCCCAGCAAGTGGGAGGTAGAGGCAGGAGAATTAGAAGCTCAAGGTCATGAGGAGGAGGAGGAGACAGAGAAAGGGAGACAGGGAGGAAGAGATAAAAGTCAGCTAGTTAAGGCATCTGGTATCGTGCTTGTTTTTAAGCTGCAGAATAAAATAATTCATACTGACCCAGGTATGATTGTGCACACTTTTAGTTCCAGCACTTAGGAGACAGAGGCAAGTAGATAGATCTCTCTGAGATCAAGACCAATCTAGTCTATATATCAGGACAGCCAGGGATACATAGAGATCCTGTTTCAAACAAAACAAAATAACCCCCTCTAAATCCAAAAGACAATCTGTTGTGATATTTTCTTCTCATTCTAACAATAAAGTTTGCTTAGAGTTAGAGGGCGGAGCTAGCCACTAGCTGACCAAGATTAACCATAGAGGTTTTGGAGGACTGAGGACAGATAGGAGACACGAAGTAGCAATGAAGGAACAGAATAGGTCATTGGTGGCTTCTCTGCCGCTTCTCTGATCATTCAGGTTCTTAACCTGAATATCTGGCTCCCAATTTTTATTTATAAGTAATAATTAGATAAACGTATCAATAACTCATATTGTAAAGTATTTCATCTATATCCAGCACAAATAAGATCCCCCAGCAAACAGATCTGTATTTTTACTGATTTACTCTAAGTGAACACTGCATTTTTCTCATGTGCAATCTCAAGAGCTGATACTATCATCTGCTCCACTTCCCAAATAAGAACCAACGTTTAGAAAAAGCTAGATTTAAGAGATTAACACATTAATTCTCCTGCATCTCTGATTCTATCAACTCTATACTGAATTTACCTTATCTTGGCTTGGTGGTATCCTGGGCCGTGTACATGCTAAGTAAGTGTTTTACCACTAATCTCCAGCCTTTTGTTTTGTTGTTCTGCTTTGCTTTGTTTGAAAGAAGATCTCCTTGTAAAGCTGAGACTGGCCTGTAACTTTCCATCCTCCTGCCTCTGTTCCCTGAATGCTGAGATAACCTGTACATGCCACAATGTCAAAGCTACATGATTTATTGAATACCTGTTATCACATTAGATATCTCAGAGGTTAAGAGCGGTAACTATTATTTCAGAGGACCCATGTTCAATTCCCAGCTCTCTGTAACTCCATTTCTAAAGTATCTGATAACTCTCTTCTGGCCTTCACAGGGACCAGCCATGCACATGGTGCAGACATACAAGCAGTCAAAACACCCATACACATAAAATAATATAAAAGGAAGGCCCTGTCCCAAAACAAACAACAAAAAACAGTAGGGAGCACATCTTTAATCCTAGCAGTAGGGAGGCAGAGGTAGGTGGATCTCTGTGAGTTTGAGGCTATCCTGGTCAACAGATCAAGTTCCAGGGCTACACAGAGAAACCCTATCTCAAAAGCAAACAAATAATCAGTAGGGTAAAAATAATATCTCAAGCAGAAAAACCTTGAGATTATTTGAGTCATTTCATTAACCAGATATAAGCAAATAAGATTCCTGAAGAAGGATCAAAGTCCCCTATACTAAATGTAGATAAACCTCAAAACATCTAGAACACAAAACACAGGGTCCATGCAGGTGACATGGTCTCCAATCACTAATATAGCTAGAAAGGTCATCTCTGAACAAGATAAATTTATTCTCTGCAAGATTAACACATCTTCTTAAATTCCTCAACATAGTAGCGCTTCTCTTCACATACATATTTACTGAAGTTTAGCAACTACTGAAATAGAACATCTATTAAAAGGTAAATTCTCCTACCACGATTTTCATTAGGGTCTCACTATGGCTGGCCAGAAACTCACTATGTAGATCAGAGGAACGCATAGAGACCTGCCAACTGGAATTAAAGGCATGCTACCATGCCTTTCAGCAGTTAGGGGCACTTACTGCTCTTGCAGAGAACCTGGGTTCTATTCCTAGCACTCACACAGCAATGCACAACCATCTCTAACTCCAGTTTCAGGGGACCAGATATCCTTTTCTGCCATCCTCCAGACACCAGGCATGAATGTGAGACAAACAAAACACCTTGGTGGTGGTGGTGAATGCCTTTAATCCCAGTACTCTGGGAGGCAGAGACAAGTGGATTTCTATAAGTTCAGGCCAGCCTGGTCTACAAAGCAAGTTCCAGAACTGGCTCCATAGCTACTGGGAGGCCCTGGCCCAACCCCCTGCCAAAAAAAAAAAGGTATTTAAAAAAAATGAATAATTATGATTCTCAAAAGCTTTTTGAGTTGAGTGGTGGTGGCGCAGCCCTTTAATTCCAACCCTCAGGAGGCAGAGGCAGGGGGATCTCTGTGATTTTGAGGACAGCCAAGGCTACCAAAGAAACTGCCTCAACAAAATAAAACAAAAACAAAAGCCAAGAGTTCAAGACCAGCCTTATCTACTTTAGAGTTTGAGGTCAGCCTGACCTACATGAGAAGTTGTCTCAATCAAAAGAAAGAGCAAGATCCTCTGCTCTCACATTTACACACCCATCCCAAAAAGAAAATAACTGTTTGGCAAACTAAACCATTTATTTTAAGGGTTTCATTGTGTAGCACTAGCTGGCCTGGAATTCACCATTTAGGTCTGCCTCTGCAAAGTTAGAATTAAAGGTGTGCATCACCATACACGGCTCAAACAACTTAAATGTTTACATAGCTTCAATATACTGTTTGTATAAGTTTAATATATGGGTCAGGGTGCTAGAGAGGTGGCTCAGTGATTAAAAGTACCAACTGCTCTCTCAGAGGACTTGAGTTTAGTTCCCGAGTACCTGCATTAGGAAGCTCAAAACCACCTTAAGTTCCAGGGGATCCAATGCCCTGGATTCTAGCCTCTAAAGATGGCACTTGTACACATATGGTATATATATACACACATTTAATGTATTTTTTTAATATTTATTTATTATGTATACAATATTCTGTCTGTGTGTATGCCTGCAGACCAGAAGAGGGCACCAGACTCCATTACAGATGGTTATGAGCCACCATGTGGTTGCTGGGAATTGAACTCAGGACCT